GAAGGAAGGAAGGAAGGAAGGAAGGAAGGAAGGAAGGAAGGAAGGAAATTTAAAAGTAAATCCAAAAAAAAAAAGGAACCAACCAAACAAACAAAAATAAAAATAATTCTCGTCAAGGAAGCTGCAGTGTGGCCCAGTGAGTCACACAGTGCACCCTTTAGTCCACACATCTTTACTCGTGAGTGTCCATTGCAATGAGCCATTGGTCTGGTTCAAGGTCTCTGGCTTCTGTTACACCCTCAATACTGGGCCCTCACTGGGGCTCCTCTCGGACATCCTATTGTTGCCCTGTGTGTGTGGTGGAGATCCTAGTAGATTCTACAGTTTTGAATTTGTAGGCTCAGCCCCTTCATATGTTCCAGAAGTTCATAGACAAGGTGGGTGTGGGGTGGACTACCTGTGAAGACCCACTCTTTTTGTTGTTTTTTATTTTTAAAATTTACTTATTTTTTCAATTTTATGTGCATTGATGTTTTGCCATGAGTGTCGGGTCTCCTGGAACTGGAGTTACAGTTGTGAGCTGTCATGTGGGTGCTGGGAATTGAACCTGGGTCCTCTGGAAGAGGAGTCTGTGCTCTTAACCACTGAGCTATCTCTTCAGGCCACAGAAATCCCACTTTTAACCCAATCTTCTGAGGCATACACCTTTAATCCACTTTTTTTCCCCTTTTTTCCAGACAAGGTTTCTCTGTGTATGCCTAGCTGTCTTGGAACTTGCTCTGTAGACCAGACTGGCTTTGAACTCACAGAGATCCACCTGCCTCTGCCTCCTGAGTACTGGGAATAAAGGCGTGGTGCACCACCACTGCCCAATTTAATCCTGATCTTCTGAGGTGGAAAAATCACCTTTAATCTGGGCCACACCTTCAGAAGGCAACCTATATGAAGGTCACGAAGAGGAAGCTCTCTCACCCTTTGCCTGTTCACTCTCCCTTTTGCCGGCAAGCAAATCCATTCCTTCATTGAGTGCATTAGAGCCTCCTTCTGGAAACTGGCGTCCACTAAAGAGCAGCTGAAACTGACAACTACTTGATTCTTGCACTTTGTTGTCTACCTTTGGTAGACAGCATTGTTGGATTAGTTGGAATACAGCCTATAAGCCATTCTAATAAACTCATATTCATAAAAATCCAATTCATAATAAATCCAATTCATTCTGTAAACTCTGCTTGTTAGGGTTACTATTGCTGTGAAGAGACACCATGATCACGGCAACTCTTACAAAGGAAACATTTAATTGTGATGGCTCGCTTACAGTTCAGAGGTTCAGTCCACCATGCTGGGGAGCATGGCAGCGTGCAGGCAGAGGTGGTGCTGGAGCTGAGACTGCTACATCTTGCAGGCAACAGGAAATCAACTGCCACAGGTTGAAACCCCTGTCTCAGGGTGGTATCCTGAGTATACGAAACCTCAAAGCCTGCCCCTACAGTGACACACTTCCTCCAACAAAGCCACACTTCCTAATAGTACCACTCCCTATGAGATTATGGTGGACCAATTACATTCACATTACCACACTGCTCCTTTAAAGAACCCTAATATAGTCAGGGTCTCACTGTGTAGCTAGCCCTATCCTGATACTCCCCATGTATCAGGCTGGCCTTGAATTGAATCTAGAGATCTGCCTGTCTCTGCCTCTCCCGTGCTGGGATTAAAGGTGTGCACCCCCACACCAGGTTGTTTCATCTCTCTTTTAACATCCTTTGTCTTAAAAAGCTTTCCTCCAAGATGCAAGGTTGTAATCTGCTACAAAACAGCGTGCACGTGCAGGAATGTGTGCGTGTGCAAATGGAGAGCAGAGAACAACATTCAGTGCCTGGGTACACCTTCACACTGACTTGGCTGGCTGGATACAAAGCCAGTCAATGCTGGGGCTACAGGTATGCACCAGCATGCCAGCTTTATGTGGGTTCTGGATTCCTGCTCAGATCCTTGTATTTGCAAGGCAAGAAGTGTGCCCACCGAGACTTCTGCCTAGACCCTCTTTTTTTCCAGGGATGGAGATAAACCCAGTCCTGGAGCATGCCAGGCAAGCACTCTGCCATTGACGCAAGCTCCAACCCTGTGGCTTCTCACCACTCTCTAATTGGCACCTCCACCCTTTCCACTTCCTGTGAACTGGTGCCCTGGCTGTGTGGGCACTAGGGTTGAACCAGGTTGTCGTTCTAGTCAGCTGTGTCCCCAGAAAGTTTCTGTGAACTTCCTTCTTCAGTGCTGAAGAAATTCTGGCCTTGGTCCTGCCTATCTCAGGGTTCAGGGTCCTCTGGGAGTTGGGAACGGTAGGAAGTACAAAATAAGGCTTCTAGGTGCCTCTACACATGAGGAGTCTTCCTCTAAGCCAGAACCCTAAAGTCTTCACAGAAGCTTCAGTAAGGCATGAGTGAGGCTCCTTTGCCAGCTAGAGTTTACTTTTGTGACCTCTGGCCTGGATGTCTTTCAGTTCTTGGGGGGCTCCTGTCAGGGCTGGGTACAGCTGTTATTTCTAGAGGAGCCATGTTCTAGGAAGTCATGAAGTAGTTTTCATTGAAGTTCACACATGGGAAAGCCTAACTAGGGATACAGGCAGCTGAACGCTGCATTTCCAGATGCAGGTGGAACAACTACGCTGTTCATCTGTCACCAGGGAGAATGCTTCACTTGCCTGCGATGTTGCATTTCTGCAGAATTACCTGGCAACCAGAGCATCAGCCAGCTATGGGCATCCTCCTGGGTCTCTACAGTTTGCTTTGTCTGACCTTGTTTTGTGATGATGGAGACAGAGCTCAGAGCCTCAGCAATGCATTCCACCACCAAACCACACCCCCAGCCCTCAGTGGCGGTGTTCTAAGACTGCTCTGGAGTTGAGTCACATCTAAACTCTATTGGTGGATTTCAGTCAGGTGCTCTATTGGTGAGCTACGTATCTTCCCACCTCTTTTCTTTCTTTTTAATTGTTAAAAAAGTTTTAAGAGCAATTACAAGTTGGGTGTGGTGGACACACACTTTTGATCTCAGCACTCAGGAGGCAGAGGCTGGCAGATTCCTGTGAGTTCGAGGCCAGCCTGGTCTACAAAGTGAATTCTAGGACAGCCAGGGCTACACAGAGAAACCCTGTCTCAAAAAACCGAGAGAGAGAGAGAGAGAGAGAGAGAGGATATTTTGCCTGCTTGTGCAGCATGCATCATGTCCATGTCTGGTTCCCTCATCACATTCTCTGAAGCTGGAATTTGGAATTCCAGGTGGTTGTGTTATCTCTCCAGCCCTCTTTTTACTTTTGACAACTGGTCTCCCGAGTTGCCTAGTCTGGCCTAAACATTCGCTCTTCCTGCCTTAGACTACAGAGCAGCCCAAGCCTTCCTTCTACTAGGTTTTATGGTGCTTGTCCCACACCCATTATTTTGAGGGGTTCTTCTCCTCAGAGAACACTATTTACAGAAGTCTCTCTCTTCCTTCTTCCATTGCTGGAGCAGCTACAGGACTTGTCTTACTTGTGACTGTTTATTGGGGTTGATACTATAGACAAGACAAAGGCAAGAGACTTTTATGTTTTTACACTTCCAATTCAGGACCTTGCATAGAAGTATGGGAAACAGAGCTCAAAGAGGTGAGTGAAGCCATTTTGTCCATATATGAAGGCTCCAATTTCTGAATTTTTCTCCACCCTCAACTCCATGGGCATGAAGTGGCAAAACTTAAAGGTGTGATGATAAACCCCTATAAACTCAGCACTGGGAGGTTGGAGGGGGTGTGAAACAGTCAGTTCAAGGTCATCCTCAGCTCTAGAGGGGGTTTGAAATCACCTGTGGGCTTCAGACCCTGTCTAAAAAAAAAAAAAAAAGTTTTTTTTTGAGCTGGGACTTGCCGTATAGCTCAGCTCCAGCAATCATCCTGCCTCAGCCTGCAAAGCAGCCTGTCTACAGTGCCACTCTACCCAACTTGACCATTTTTGTACATTTTGAGGTAGACAATCAATACGTTATGACACAACTGGTATAGCAACATGATGACTATAAAGGAACTAATTAATTACCGTTGCTCATGCTCTCCTGTGGAAAGAGCAGTTTGAATTCCATTTAGTAAAAAAATCTTGAATCAATTAACAAAAAATTTGAGCACAAGATCCAGCCCTGAGCTTGCACGACTCACCCTATCTCGATGCCAGCAGAATGATTACATTTAACATTTGACATTTTGTTCACCGTGGGTCTACTTTTCCATTGGTATTTTAAAATATTGCATTAGAATATTATCTTGATGATTAATTTCTGAGCTCGAGGAACTCACTCCCTTCAGGGCTGTTTCTGTTTTACCTTCCCGGGCTGCAGCTGACCTATCTCTTGGGGAAACTGAGATCCGGAGCGGCGGGGAGCTCTAGGGACAGGCTGTCGCCGACCTTTGCTTATCGTCCGTCCTCTCATTAAATCCCCGTCTGCCAGAGACCTTTTCGCCGCCTGCGTGGTCGAGATAGCGGCGCGGACAGTCCGTGACCTTTTACAGGCTCTGACTCGCCCAGCACCAGCCCCTGCCTCGCCACCCTCTAGGACTGGGAGAACGCGCCTGTGACGTCATCGAATTCCGAGTCCGGCCTCCGCCGCTGACGTCACAGAGGGGCAGCGCTGAGTCGCAGCGTTCCTAGGGGGACGTGAGCACGAGAGGCCAGAAAGTGGCCCAGCAAGGAGGAAGCCTTGCGGTTCCCATCAGTACGTAGGAGCAGAACTACAACTCCCGACGCTCCCTGCACCTGTGCAAGAGAGCGCGACAAACTTTTGGACGAGATTGCTATCTCCTTGGTCCAACCAGAAGGCCGACTTTAGAGCGTCATCCCACCCCTCTGTGATTCTCAGGGCTGCTTCCTCGCGCGAGTGACGGGCTTCGCTGCCTTCTAGGGTTCAGATTCCTCTGACGGACGTCCGAACCGAGGAATCCGAGCTCGGAGAAGTCCAGAGGGTGTTGAAAAGCGTGGACGGTAGCCAATAGTATGCTGAAAGCGTCCGGCGCCGTCCAATCGCTGCTCTGGAGCCCCGCCCCGACGCGTGACGCAGTAGGGTGGGTAGCAACAGTTGCCCCGGTGAGGGAAACGGAGGCGCCATAGCCACGGTAGTCGTGGCGACCAAGCAACCCAGCAACGCCAGTCAACAACAACAACCGAGGCCGCCCCCCGCCCCCACGCCCCCGGCCCGGCCTGGGGACCCCGGCGCGCTCGGTCCCCTCTGCACAGAGCCCACGCACCTCCTCAAAGCCTTCCGCGGACACAAGTGCGGAGAAGCCGAGGTAACCGGGGCAGCGCCTGGCAAGCTGGGCGCGCCGGGGAGGGCGGCGGGGCCCG